TGTAAACTAAAGATAATATAAAATATAGATGCTTCAAAATGCATATATTTGATATATGTTATATGTATGATATTTCGTGCAGTTATCATCAACCAATCAGATCGCAGCTTTCTTATTAATTTGGTTATCAGATTCGATCTTGTGATCCTGTGATTAGAAATGGATGATCTATACTTTGTTAGAACCGTCTTAGTGAGCTGATTCGAATGATGGTGGTTTCATCGAATTCTGTTCAGTGGTTCAAGAGTTATGGTCGTTTTTGTAGATTAACAATATAATAAAAATATAGTTAGTTTATTTTTAATTAGTTATAAGTATAAATTTAAAGAAGTTAATCTGTAAATTAGTTATATTAAAGAATAATTCAGTTGTAGAAAGAATTTGTGATAATTTTTATTATAAGGATGAAACCAAAGAGTGTTATTCATATAAACAAAAACTGAGCAATATAAGCTGAGCTTGTTGTATATTTGATATTTAAAATTAGTTAAGCAAAAAACTTGTATTGTATAATCTTTAAAGTTGATATAAATATGTGATATGAATAAATCATAGTAAATTATCTATAAAGAGAAGTAATAATTTCATTCTGGTCAATACTATTAAGTACAGTATATAATGAAGTAGGTCTAAGGTTCAGTAAATATATTAATAATAGTATTAATAATAAAATTGGAAAGGGCAAGTCATTGTAAGGACTTTTGAAGAAGTATAAGATTAACAGAATTTCATACTTTGCTCATATCTTGTTATAAGAGTCAAACTGATTTATAGTTGCATGATGAGTCTTCAATAAGATTATTAAGTATGTGAATTAGATCTGTAAAGAATTAGTAGCTTTATCATTAAGCTATATGACCTAATTCTAGTTTATAATTAAAAATAATTTTTTATAATAATATTATATAAACAAAATATACAATTTTTAAAAATTTTATATAAATTTATTCAAATTTTAATTTTAAAAATATATAAAATTTCTTAAACTTTAAAGCTTTAATATTTCTTAACTTATATATTAATAAAAAAAATTAAATTTTATTATTAAATATATTAAAAAAAAAGAATAAAAATCTTTCTATAATTTTTAAAATTTTATAAAAATTGTATTTTTTTTTCAATATAAAGATAACCTCTTTGGTCTGAGCTTTTTATTAATACTTATGTCAGATACATGTTTTATACAGATGTATCTATATTAAACTATTAGATGAGTATACAACTGGCTACATATATAACTTTTCTATATTACCTATTTAAGAAGTTCACCTGAAGGTTTTCTACCAGTTGTCATATCTAACACCCCTCTTAGATGTTTCATTTAAACCCTTTGATCTAACTCTAATATTAATTTCATTAGGTTACAGACTCAGATCTATTCACATTTAACTATAGAACTATAATTCTTAAACTATTTTTATCCTTAAGGCAAACCTACCAGAACAAGCCATATTTTCTTTTACCCTAACCTGGTTTTGATACTATGGCTGAGACCAATACTTGCAGTCAAAATTATCTATTAAACTGCTATTACCTTTGTAAAGTTTATCTAAGCCCTAGTAACTATCTTTCCAACTTCTTCTTCATCATCTTCTACTAGCTATAACTCAGAACTAACTGACTCTCCAAACTTTTAATTCAGATGATCTGATATGGTATACTTCTGTATCCTTTTTCTCTAGCAATTCTGGCAGCTTGGTTGGTCATATGATCTTCTACATATTTTGTTACCTGGTTTATCTAACAGTTCTTATAAAGGTGTTTTATAAGCTTCTATTAGTCCAATGACACTATTGAAAGTTTGTACTACTTTTTTATTTGGGATTTTACAATAGGTTTCTGTCACCTCAGTTTCTTAGCCTTTTATACTTGATAGTCTTATCATGGGTTCATATTGAAGTTTTATACAATACCAGTTTTTCACATTCTCTATGTACATATAATATTATACTTCACATAAATGTCTTGAGCTCCCAATGTCAAATAGGACCCAACTTGGTGTACCTAAGATTACAGATGCCCAAAACCTAACTGATCAACAAGATATAGTTACCATAACACAAGTATAATTTCCAAAATTCATTATCCATAGAAATTGAACCTTAGACCTGCCACTTGAGAGTTGACAACCTATTTACTTCACTAGGTCATCACATCCTTGCATATTTTTTTGTATAACTTTACTAAAAAGAAATATTTATTAATTTTAAAATTACAATTATATGTAAAATTTTGTTTTAAACAAGTTTATTTAGAAGACAAATATAGATTATTTTAATAAAAAAAAAGTTTTCTATATACTAATATTAAAATTTTTAGTTTATCTATATAAAACTTTTTATTTTAGTAGAATAATCTATTTTTGTCTTTTAAATAAACTTGTTTAATATAAAATTTTACATTATTAAATTTTTAACATCAATTTTTATAAACCTTTTACTAAATAAAAATTTTAATTAAAAAAATTATAATTTTTAAAAAATTTTTTTTTGAAATTTTTTAAATTTTTTTAATCAAATATTTTATTTAGTAAAAGATTTATAAAAATTAATGCTATAGACCTAATAGTATAAATTTTATGCTAAAAAGTTTACTTAAAAGATAAAAATAGATTATCTTAGTAAAATAAAAAGTTTTATATAAATAAACTAAGAATTTTAATATTTGTATATAGGATATTTTTTTATTAAGATAACCTATTTTTGTCTTCTAAGTAAACTTGTTTAAAACAAAATTTTATATATAATTATAATTTTAAAATTAATAAATATTTCTTTTTAGTAAAGTTACACAAAAAATATGCAATTTTTATGAAATTTTAAAAAGTTATAGAAAGATTTTTATTCTTCTTTTTTTAATATATTTAATAATAAAATTTAATTTTTTTATTAATATCTAAGTTAAGAAACATTAAAGCTTCAAAGTTTAAGAAATTTTATATGTTTTTAAAATCAAAATTTGAATAAAATCATATGTAAAATTTTTAAAAATTGTATATTTTGTTTGTATAATATTACTATAAAAAAACTATCTTTTAATTATAAACCTATAATTATATGTAAAATTTTATTTTGAACAACTTTATCTAAAAGCAAAAGTAGGTTATCTTAGTAAAAAAATAAGTTTACTATATAATAAGTGTAAAATTTATAGTTTTTCTATCTAAAACTTTTTTTTTTACTAAGAAAATCTATTTTTATCTTTTAAGTAAACTTGTTCAGAATAAATTTTACATTAAATTAGTAAAAAAAACATTTTAAATGTGACAAATCGCGTAACTGTTATTATACAATTTGTCAAGGGTAATAATGCGTCACTAAAAAGAATGCTAACGTTTCCCCAAAATAGCATACTTTCTACACAAAAATGTTCGTCAACATTAAAGTTTTCACAAAGTTAAAAATACTGCAAATTATTATGATTATATCCTATATTTACATCTAAGATATCTGCCATTACTATCATGATATATAGTCAAAGAACTGCCTAGTTAAACAATAGCTTAGATGTGAGATCACCTAATGACGGTAGTCTTTTAATTGTGTGTTCAAGAATGAGGATTGATATAAAGCCATTCGTGCACTCTTGCCAAATGGAACTACAATAAACATTAACTTAGATAAAATCTCACGTATATTTCTTTAACTATGTGATATTCCTACTTTTAATAATAAGAATCTCAGTAGCAATAAGCAAGTGACCGGGATAGTTTTAGATTACAACAATCAAATTGTAAAATGTTTGTATTAAATTAATACTATCTTTAAATTTTAATAAATTCCTATTTATACTCTTAAATAATAGTCTTTCTTGCAGCAAATGGATCGATTAATAATACGAAGTTGGATATTGTTATAGGTACACAAATAATGGTTCACTTGAATTGCCTAAGTAATATTTTGCATAAAATTAGATCTTGTGTCAAATTAAAATAATTTAAACCCTTAATAATCAATGTATTAGGAAGCTAAATGATCCTGATGTTTATAAAATAAATAACAATTTGAATTTTTTGGATAATTCTAACCTAAAATTTGTATTTCCGATGGAAATTATGGGGTTATAATTGAAAATATATCTAATAACAAATACATTCATGTATTTTAAGACTTAAATCCATAACTCGTAAGAATTCTGTTGAAGATTCTTTATTATGCACAGAGATATTAACGAAATATCGAACATTTCATGTTTGCCAAATACATTTGGATATACAGCATATGTCACAAGACAAATCAAACTAAAACTTTATAGCTATATCGATTCATCTATTGAGAGGACGGACAAATGATGGATGATAATATAGAACTTTGAACGTAGCAGAGGTCGATGGAGATTGGATTGGGTAAAGCATGTGTAGGAAGTTGGAAGTCAGACTGCATTCCCTTATAGAGACATTCTAGCTGAATATTGATAATGCATTGTCCGGGTTGAATATTAAGCCGATTACCAAACTTATCAATAGTTCCAAACTCATATTCCTTTAATAGAGAATTATTTAATTTTTTCCTAAATATATAGAATTGCCTAAAAATCAAAATATTAAATAACAATATGACATACTATAGGATTAAGATTGTCATTAGCAATTCGATTATCTGTGCAAAAGTACCACGCCTATCAAAGAACAAAATTATAATAAGACAATTTTGATGAAATACAATGTAAATTTATATAATTATTTACAGTCATTCGGGAGGGAATCATCTCTGGTGCTTTGGAAGGTTCTATTTTGATGGCGATAACATCATGTACTCTATTAGGTCGAAGCCAATAATTTTTTATTTTGTCAAAAAGATGCTCTTCACTTTCTGAATAAGCAACTTCAACTACCAAATTTGGCCAAGGTTGATGCTAAAGGATACAATATCTTAAATAATACAGAAATTTTAAAATTTTCAAAATAATAAAAAGGCTCAAAACTCTATACCAGCCCATCACATCCATCAGAATCTACGCCCGGTTTTTTTTTTGGCCGTATACACCCATCTGCTTCTTTACCCATACTTTCTGCTTTTGTTGCTTTTAAGTAAAGAATAATTAATATACCGTAAAACGCGCATTGAGCTATATAATTATAAACAAAAATATACTCATTGATCCTAAGAAAATGAAATCATAATCAGTAAGAAATACACCGGCTAATGCAAAAGCAAATAAACGAGTCAATTCGGCACATGCAGACTCGTGAGGTGCAGAAGGAAGTTCATATACGAAAACTCTTCCATTATTCCATTCCCACATGCCGTGCACGTTATTCTTGTCGGTTCGTTCGGCATACTGGTCCCAACTAACATTAGACTTAAGCTCATAAGGTAAACTAAAAGTATAGTAAATAGTTGTATAAATACTAATTTTTTGTTTTATTAAATTTTATTAAAAAATAACTTACGGAGCGTTTTCCCAATTCGCTTTTGGGTGAATATTACCCTGATCCCACCATAGTTGTCTAAATTTCATCAACTCGTCTGCAAATTTTGGAAAGCAATTGAACATCTGGGTAATAGTATTTTTACTTTCTGGCTTTCCCATTTTATCCTAAATTGCAATATTGTTACTTTGATGATTTTTAGGTTGTTCTTTTTGAGTGGAGAAGTGGAGATTTTTAAAGCGGAGATCCTCCTTTTTATAAATCAAAAAACCAGTACGTATGCAAATACGTACAGTTTACATCATATTTTATCTTTATATAAGTTCCTAGAACCATTTTTCGGAAACTACACCATATGATTCGTGCATTTTGTTTGCTTGTCGTCATCTTAATTACTAATCTTACTAGAATTTATGGTTTCAAATATCTATTGAAAGTAACAAAATGCAGTATGTACTGCATATACGCAGGTTGGTAATTTGAAATGTGTAGATTGAAAATTTAAATATCATATGAATGATAGAACGTATCGTTATTAATGAAAGAAACGTCAGCATCTCCTGAATTTGTACTAGGTTGGTGGTGTAGGTGAACTGTGTGAGTCATTCTCTTACGATTTGTTCATCTCCCAGTTCTCGAGTAAATTAGCAGAACCACTCTCTAGAATCGATTGTTATTCGCTTACTACCGCTACATATTACGAGATTGAATTGATTATCAACCAGTTTTGTTAACTATTTTTAGATTAGCACGAGTACTCTTATATCAAGCGAAAATCGGACCATTCCGATCCAAATACTTAGGTTGGAGTATCTCAAGTATTTCATTATATCCGATGTGAATGAATAAGTGGTATATGTAAATTTTAATGCTGAACATTTTTAATTAGAAGTCAGAGGTTGGTTAGCATAATTAACTTTGCCTCTATTTGAGAATTTTCGCTTTTTTTGCTGTTTTCACTGTTTGTTTTGTTACACAAGATCCTAAGATTTTATTAGTTTCGGACCAGAAATTTTAAGGTCGGAGATAGATTTTCGCTTGATATAAGGGTACCCGATTAGCTCAAATCATTGTACAAGAAGATACGCTTACCGCAATTCTTGAAAGTTTGTGGCGCAGATTTCCCAAACTACGAATCAGATTTCATCCGTTTTGTCAAGAATCGCTTACTTCTCAAAAATCAGAATAAGAAATCATCTAATAAAAGTTTTCGTTGGATAATTTTACTATATAGACTACTCTCCTCTGATTCCAAACATGAGCCTAACCTAACATAAACGAACTTTAAAGAATTGCTGATGCGCCATAAACCTGGCATACATTCAAGAATTGCATTATTACCAATTAATGACGAAATTGTGATTTCATTTTATCGCTGTTTTCAAATTAGTTCAATCATTGACCTTTGAATCTTATGAATCCCGCATATTACAACAATGTCATTCATTCACAAAATTCGATGATTGCACAAATTCGATAATAATTCAAAACTATTGTTATTATTGCATCAGGGACATTATGAAATCGCTTTATACATTTAACAAAATAGTATAAATGATGGTTACATAAAAAGTTGTAAACTCATCGTTACAATAGTAATTTATTCTATAGATAGATCTCATTGCAAAACAAAAACTACGTACGTATATATTTTCGGCCATTCGAAAGTACTGTGCTTGACTCGCCGTATTACAGCTGATTTCATAAATTTTGAACAGCTGAAAAATTTCCTGATGACACAAATCAGTAAGTTATCAACATCGGCCCACATCAAAAACTTAACGATTCAGTCATTATCAATTTATCAGGTGTTTTAGGATTTATGAGGACGGGTATAATCTATAAAGAAACTAAATAGTGGCTATATTTTTTACTCTAGCTTACAGCAAATAAGTTACTCATAAATTGACTTACCAATACTTTTAATTTGGATCGATATCTTTATTTTAACCCCTTCTCTATCTTTTTCTCTGATCATTTGTGTATTTGTACATGTGCATTTAATCGTATTGGTCTTTGTCGTTGCCCGTGATCCGCAACATTTCCTTTTTGATTAAAACGGAGTGGATTTTCGTATATTATAAAAAAAATATTATCGGACCTACGTATCTTGATCAGAGCGTTCAGATCGATCTGAGCTTGCATCCAAAAATTTTTTACGTGTTCTGGTTGTATCTATTATGTTTTCTTTTTTTTCATATAGGGTCGTGTAAAAATTTTTCTTAAAATAGTAAAAGATTCGATTAGTAGGCTTCTTGAAATAGATCTGCGTAGATTAGTGGTTATTTTTTCTAAGCCTTGAATATCGATCAGCATAATTTTTCTTAATTAGTTGTGATTTGTTGTATTTAACAGGTTTTTAGCATATATATTATTGCCCAACTATCCTGATGTACTGTGGCTGTTCCGTTGGTCTGGTTCCGGGAGTTAACTTGAGCCGTGGTTTGGCTAGGGATGGGATTGGCTATGGCTACAGCTAGTGATGGGTGGAGATGGGCAAATCATAGTTTTTGCCAAAAATCCCGCGCGGGATTCGCAGATTGTTACCAAGATTACCGTAGGTTTCGGTTGGAATTATGGCATTGGCCCGAATTATCCCCGTGCATCACGTGATGAATCCCGCACGCTTGCCCATCATGTGCATGATTTTTATAATGCCGGCGAAGCAATATAATGCTGGTAGATAATATGAGCCGGAAATTTTCAATAGGTTCCGGAATATTCCGAAACACCTACAAAATATAAAACCAACAGATCAAGACTAACATAACCCCAACCGTAGACTTTCCCAAAATCGCCACCCAAAAAGTTTCGAAAATCATGTGATATTGTCAATTCATCATTATTTGATTTTTTTTTCTTGGATTCTTTAAAGTGAAAAGCGATCGTCAAAAGCATAAAATCCAATAAACACACAATTCTAAAATTTTCCATTAACAATAAACGAAAAAAGAATGAAAATCGAACTAATCAAGAAAATGCAATTGAACCAGAAAATCTTGTAGATTTTATTTTTAATGCTCTTTCGGAAAATTATAATTCTGATTGTTTATTTGAATCCAAGACGCAGCAACAAAATATTTATTGGAGAAAACAAGTAGTAACAAATGGCTCTATAGTATTAGTTATTGTGTAAATTGGAGGATTTTAATCATTTTAAAAGCAATGGAATATTCCAAATACTTAGAAAAACCGTAATCATAACTGATAATACTTTCTGGCCATAATAAATATTACATTTATTGAGTTATTCAAATAAATAAAATGATTAATTATTACTTATTATTATTAATTTTTAAGTGACATGAATTTATTTAGTGCTCGATATATTTGATATATTTGGCACGTGATGTTCGAAACTTTTGGGATCTTTCCCACCACAATTTTTCGATCACGCGATGCTACAAAATTCTTTAGAGTCGCTTATGTTGGGGTTTGAGTTAGATTTGAGGTTAGAAAGGAGCTGGCACACAGTAAAATTGGGCAATAAATTTTTTTTTTTTTGTTAGAGCATCAAAGACGGGTTATTAAGCAAATTTTTGAGTTAGAAGAGAATTTTTGAAACGAACGTTTGTTTTGGAACTTCCTGATTGTGTTACGTTATTTTGGAGCAGGAGGAGACAACTCATATTTAATAAAGTTTTCGTTTAACTTTAGGGTTAGGGTCTCCCATATCAGGGTTAGTTTAGGTTTTAGGTGGTTATATATATGCAAAATTGCCTTTCGACATTTTTTTATTAAACTACCCAATGAAGGTTTAGACTACCGTTTTTTGTATTTTTCGGGTTTTTGTTTTCATTTCTTGTTTTGCTTCGCCGGCGATCATCAAAATTCTATAATTTGATTAGCTTATGATCACGTGATTTGCCTCTTCTTTAAACGACCCTCAAATAAGGCAACCTTGCATAATTTTTTTTAGCCAATGAAAAGTGTAAATTTAAACAATAAGTGAATAATTCAATATTTTATTAGCATCGGCTGGAAAATTTTGTCCTTCTTTCTGAACCAATTGCAATATTTCATTTTAATTTTTTTTGCGGAACCATGAATCTTTAATTGATAAAATTAATTTATGCACTAACTGTATAATTAGACAGGACGATCCCCAAAAGTGCGGGTAATATTAGAGATTGCGCGGGCATTTTTTGAGACTGCGCAGAGCAATTTTATAATTCAGACCATATGGAATAATTCTGGTCAACTTTATAATCCAGGCTTGAAGTAGCCAATCGGAAATCGTTCCGGATCTGCATCACTTGTTTAATGTCGTTCATAATTCTGGCCACATTTAAAGTTGTTTTTTCTAGATCTGACCAAATGATCTGCAAATTTGACCAGAATTATTAACACCGATATGCATAAAAAAAGTGAAAAAAAGCACAAAAAAAAACGAAACCTTATGTCTAAACTAACCTTGGAGCACCAATTAAAAATGATGGGAGCTCAACTTTACACATATGATGTATATGTTTAATATATATAAACGTGAAACCTAGTGGGCAAAAGTCTCTAGGGATTAATGCTATGCAGGCTGTTCAGGCTGCAAATAATTCTCGAAGTTCCCATCTCTAGGTCAGATAGTAATGTGTACATGTGGATACGCGAATTTTTTTTGGATTTCGTGTGGGATTTTTAATATAAGATTATTTGACCTGCATTAGAATATTATCTAGCCTGCATTAACATTAATGGGCTAATTTTTAATTAGTAATTGATATATATATATAAAATTAACATTTTTACTAGTAATTTTTGGTCAGATGATTATAAATAATCACTGTTAAGTATAATCAATAATTATTTATAACTAGTTAGCTATTGTATATAATAAAATCTTTTGTATTATTATAGTTAATATTTAATAATTTATTAAGCATATATAATCTATTTATACAAAACATCAAAATTTTATTTCTATGTGTTTATATCTATTTATATATATATTTATAATTAGCTTCTGTAACCTATTTGGAGCCTGTAATTGAACACAAAGTCTTGTGGTCAAGTTCAAGTACAGTACATAATGAAAAAATGAATTTTCAAAAGGAGATCAACTTTGCAGAGTGTGGGCACTATGTATGACAGTGACATTATAAAAGGTTCAGTTACATAAAGTATTGTACATATAAGTTCTCTAAAGATAAGCAGTACTAACATCTTCATATTCAACTTGGGAAGTATTTGATTGAGAGGATAATACCAAGATAACATGTACTAAAGTAATGAGAAAAGCAGTATATGCATAAAAGATTTGTGACAAAAATTAGTCTTATCAAGATTGGAAGCATCTCTGATACTGTGAAACAACTGTGAATAGAAGAGTATTTACTTATTTTTGCAAGTGATACAAGCCCAAAAAAGAAAATGATTGTCATTTTGCTAAAAGTACATGAGATTTGACCAGTGTTAGGGCTAGGTTAAGTGTTAGTATTTGAAAAGTTGGATAGTAAAATCTGGTCAGAAATTTTTTTTATTAGAATATAAAATGTGATTTTCTAGACAAACTTTTGAGTTACCAGTGATGTTTTGAAAATTCTTCGATTTCATATTGCATGACAATTGTACCTAATCTTGTGATCTATATAGAAAATTTTTTTTTTTGGGCTTGTATTATTTGCAGAAATAAGTATATGCAATAGAAGGTAGCTGTATATATAGAGAAGTTGTAGCCTATTCTGTACATCTAAAGATATCAAATCAGAACTCTGGTCACACCTATATAAAAGTTTATAGCAAAACAAATAGAACATACCAATAAATTACTATATCAATTAAAGTTAAGATACTTAATTAGAAATGATCTTTGTGAATAAGTACGCAGTATTTTTGAAAATGTAGATTTACACAGATATCTATATAAGTTAGTATATATAAAAGATGTAAACTAGCTTTGGACAGTATAAATATAAGATAAGTTCTCATATGTTCAAATAAAAAGTGAATATCAACCAATAGTTGAAAAAGAATAAAGTATCATTTCTGAAACATAGTTTTATTTTTTTTTTACTATGATTAGCTTTATAAATAAATTTGTTATTTCATAGTAATTATGATATATTACATCTATATTTTATAGTAATATCTGTATTTTATAATATGTTATGTCTATATTTTATAAATAGCATGATTGCATAAACAGGTTTTTTTTTTAAATTGTCATAGTTACGCAAATAACTTTACTAAGGTAGTGGTTTTTTTAAATTATTATGATTATGCAAATGACTTTACTGAGGTGAGATGTTTTAAAATTATAGTTGTATGACTTTTAATATTTTAACACTTCAAAAAAAAATAATAAAACATTTAAAAAGCTAGATTGCTGCTTTATTAATTAATTTACTTAATTACATTATATTTTCAATATTGATTAATTGTAATATGATCAGCATAATAATTATTAATGATCATAGTACCTTGCTTACTATTCAACATATTTTGCAGACTAAATTGTGATGCCTGTAACAGCCTTTTTTCACTAAAAGTTGGATTTTTTTTAGTAGTATTGATATGAAAAGATAAATTTGGTTTTGTGTTATTTTTTAAAGAGCTTCAAAACTCAGAATATACTGAGCTTTTTGGTAAGACATGAAAGTCAAACGAGTCATAATTATCAGAATTCTAAAAAATAAATATGTATTTAATATATAAATATATAAAATTTAATTTAAAATAATTGAAAACTTAGAGGTGTGGTGACCTAGTGAAGTGGTCAGGTTGTCAACCTCCGAGTGGCAGGACTAGAGTTCAAATCCCATAGATGACAAATTTTGAAAAATAAGGTTTGTATTACAGTAACTATCTCTGTTGATTGGTTGGATTAGTGTATTTGTAACCTTTGTTACATCATCTCAAATGGAAGCTTGGGGCATCTATGCAAAGTATAATATTACATCTATATAGAGGAATATTAATAACTGGTATTGCATAAGACTTCAGTACAAACCCATGATAAGACCACTGGGTGCAAAAAGCAATAAAACCAAAGAGTCGAAAACCTACTTGGAAATTCTAAGTAAAGAGGTAGCATGAACTTTTGATGGTATTATCAAACCATCAGAAGGCCCCCAAAAAGGATTACTAGGACCTTAGATAGATCAGATGACAACATGTGTCGAGAAGCACATACCAACTAGGCTGCTGGGTTCACCAGATAGGCCATCTGGATTGGTAGTTTGTGAATCTTGTAGGTCTTGTAGATTCAGAAATAGGAGGTGAAAGTTAAGAAAGAACGGTATCAGGGTTCTTATGAATTTTACAAGGGTATAGCAGTTTAATAGTTAGCCCTAACTGCAAGTGATGGTCTAGGCCAGAGCAGTACTGGGTTAGCTGTAAGTATGGGATACAAAAGACTTCAGTAGGCTTAGTATAAAGTTAAATATGACTTAGTGACTATAATATATTTGCAGCAATAGCTGCAGTTGATAAGGTAGAAGTGAATACAGGAACTAGAATGTTTAAATAGAGAATACACAAGTAGGTTCTATGTATGGCAACTAGTGTAGAACCTTCAAGCAGACTACTTAAAATAAACAATAACTAAAGTTATACAAGTGGCTAGTTGTACACTCTTTCTATGATTGACTTTGTAGCTGTTATACACAATAGTTATATGCTGACTGATTATAAATAAACTCCTGAATAGCAATTTCTCATCTTAACATTAAAAAAAATAATTGAAAACTTTACCAGATCTTGTTTTTTATTGAAAAAATCTTTAACATCATTATTATTTTGAGATTTTGGAAGATCAACAATGCTAATTAATATAGACAAAGCATTTTTTTTTGTTGTTCACTTGGACTTAAATATATATGATATGATGATTCACTTTTATGGCTAGTTATTAACATAAAGATAACAATCAGAATACCTTTATAAAACAAGTTGTAATTGATGTGGTTCTTCCTAAGTAATTAACAATATTACAATTCTTAATATTTATTCCAACATCAAAAAAATATTTTTTATAAAATTACTGCACAAATTTTGTTTTAATTTAACATTGAGATACCACTTGTCATTATTATATTCTATATTAAATAATTATAAATTACTGTAAAATAATATTTCAATTAAAGTAAATAAGAAAAAAATATCATAAATGTTTTTATTAATTTTGAGATATAAAAATTGACATATGCAATTTGTGAATCTTTTGCTTAAATACAACTTAATATTATGAATAAGTCCTAAATACCTTTTAGAATTTGCAAGTACTAGTATTATAAGTAAATCCAAATTTCCTTTAATACTGCCGAGTAATTTTTCTAAGAAAATTTTGTAAACTGAATTCTGCTATTACTAAAAAAAGCAAACTGCATAACCCTCATTTGACTATGTTCACTACCACATAGAGCAAAAAGAAGATAACAGCATATAAATATCTGATATTAAAGTCCCTTGCTGTATTAATCAACAATGTCTTATGATTAAATATTGTCTTTAATTCATCAGATGACAATGGATCATGATGTTTAGTAACCTTTTTAGATTGCTTTAAAACCTTCATTTTTCTATTAAGAACTTCTCACAATAAAGGAAATTCATTTTTATTGTTAATTACAAATTTTTTACTACCATCAAGATGCTTATAAATATAATTACTTAAATAATTATAAGCATTAACTAATAAAGAGTAACTATAATCACTTCCATCTTGAATTTTTTGTACACTACAGAAAAATTCTGTTATTTTCTTTTTAAGCTAATCTTTACTAGTAACTGTTTTGATACTATAACAATATCCAACATTATTTTGCCACCTATTTAGAGCTTTTACATACTTTTGTATAGCCTTATGAGTATTTTCTGGAATACAAGTTTCAATTATTTCATTGACTTTCTTATTAGTAGGTAAGTAATCACCATGCACTTTGGTATTTAAATTTTTTTTTTTCTAATTAAAATTAAATTATTTTTATTATTTTAAATAATATAAAAATTTTGCTTTATATATTTAACTATAATATACTATCAAGACAACTCAGATCAGTGTTAGTATATGTAACAGACTTGGATCAGCACTAACAGGTACAACAATCTTGAATCAGCAATAACAGTTGCAACAGACTTGGATCACATTCATAGGTATTAAAAGACTTGAGACAGTATTGATAAATACCACAAACTTGAGACAGCATTGGTAGGTACTACAGACTTGGATTAACACTTTCAGGTACAATAGACTTAAAGTTTTGTTAGCTTCAAAAAACCTATTTTGTAATATATATTTGGACATACACAATTCAGATTTATAATTAAAAGAGCTACAAGTCTTAAAATTTAAAATATATACTCTTGGGGGCATAGTGAAAGTATTAAAAGCACTAAAAAAAAATTGTTAGATGAAAATCTATTTATATTATTTTAAAGTCTAATGCATTATACAATATATATTAATTTTTGAATTGCTAGTCATAATAAAAAAAAAAATAAATCTGTTATTGCATACTATGCAGCAATAACTGTTGTATTTTATGTTTTCTTTCTAATTGTACAGTGACCCAGCTGTACTGGCTAAGATCATCAACCAATCAGAATCATCTATAAAATACTACAGTTATTGCATGCTTTACATGCAATAACTATTTATTATTTATACTATAAAAGAGAGTACTTAAGGAGCAAGTTAAATATACAATTTATTTAAATAATACTAAAACCAAGAAGAGTTGCAAATTAGTAACAATAGCAGATATCTGGCTTAAGATATATGTACTAGTACCTGAATTGGGAAATTAGCAATAGCAGCAAGAATCTGGCTTAAAATATATGCTAGAGAGACATCTTTTAGACAAACCAAAAATAGAAGCTCAAAAGAAGCAAACAACTAAGTAGACCAATTTGTAAGTTATAAAAAATAGGTTGTAAGATATGAAGAGAATATGCAGATTATCTAATATAATTAGTAATAAAACAAAAATTTAGGTTAGGTTTGAGTAGGACATAATACAAAACTTTGGTAGATTTAGGTTATAAATAAAGACATCTGAGTTTTATGTCTGAATAGATATATAGTAATAGATAATAAATAATAAAATTATACTAGTTATAACCAATATACTTATAAAGACTTGAGAGCATAATCTTATCTTAATATTAAAAAAAAAATTTATCTATAACCTATAGTTTTAGTACAAAAAATAACAGTACAAGTACTTATTCTAATTCTAATTAGAATGCTTATAAAGAATCAATTTTATATATATTAGTTTCTATTTATACAAACAATAATAGATTAAATATAATAGTTTTATACAATGTTAATAAAAAGTTTAATAATATTAGTTAAAAGTTTATAATGCTAGTTAAAAATTTACAAATACTAGTTAAAAGTTTACTAATACTAGTTAAAAGCTTGCTAATACTAATTAAAAGTTTACTAATACTAATTAAAAAGTTTATAAGCATTAGTTAAGAGATTACTAATACTAATTAAAAGTTTATTAATACTAATTAAAAAGTTTATAAATGCAAATTAAAGATCACTAACCTTATTTAAAAGTTTACTAATACTAATTAAGTTTATTAATAATATAATAGCAAATTATATAAATGATTATTATTTTTTAATATAACAATTAAGACAAGTATATATGGAATATAAACAATAAAAACAATCTGTTTTATATTTTTTTAAAAAACTAGTTTTTATTATATGTATTTATATAAATTTTAACATTTTTAACATTTTTCAATTATAAATAAAATATTATAATTAGGTGACACACAACAACTCTCCTTAACAATCACTTGAACATGAAATCAGTAGAAAAGAAAATAGATTTTCTGCATAACTAGCAATAAGAAAGGTTACAAACAGCACTAAAGAAAATAAACAGCAATAAGAAGAGCATTAAACAAGCTTAGTAACAGAAAATATCACAGGCACTAGCAAAGCAACAGTAGAGGAAAACTCAAGTTTCTTTAGAAAATTTAGCAAGCAAACGGAAATTGTGGGGACTGCCATCAACCCTGTATGTTGATCTGTTTACATTACACAAGCAACATATAACAGATTAGGCAAAACAGACATATGCAAAATAGTTAAACAAATAGTATAGACAAAGTATTGATAGAATAACAGGTAAACAAGATATAGCAAAACATGTAACAGAACATTCTAAAAAAATAAGCCACAAAATGGACAAAAGCATAGTACAAAAATATAGAGAGAGCCTCCAAACCATTTTTATAAGAAGAGTATATTGGCCAATAAGTAGTGTGCATAACAAAGTCTTTTTTAATGAGGCAGGCAAAACATATGCAGTACCAGATAGAGAAAATAGAATTGTAGCAATACTAACAGAGCAAGACCCATATGAGGTAGCTCTTTTATAATTAACAAGAGAAATACTGAAAAAAGCTGAGAAAGAACAATCTGAAAAGAAGCTAGACATAATCACAAAAAATCAGAATACAGAAAAGAAACAAACACAATACAATCATAGCAACAACAAAAAGCAACAAGAAATAAAAAGAATAATTCAAGAAGAAAGCACTGAACAGAAGCAAAGAAAAAAAAGAACTACAGAAGAAGAACTCAGAAATATAGAAAAACAACAAGAGGAAATTAATATAATACAAAAAGAGAAAGGGACAGAGGTAAGTACAGAAGCTAACAATAAAGTTATATTGGAAACTACTGCCCAAAAACAAAAAATCAAAGAACAAGAAAGAATGAATGAATAAGAAGATATAAAAATGAATGGCAAGCAATCAAGACAAAACACACTAGAAGAAGAAAGAGAAAGACAAAAAAAAAGGAAGCAAGAAACAGAAGAAGAAATCGACATTATAGAAATAGCATTAGAACAAAGTATATGGGCATCAAGCAGAAGAAATTGTGATCAAAACAACAGCTTAATTGCCAATATACCAGCATATAAGGTCTTTGGAGAAACAAAAGAAGAATGTATTAAGTTTATTAGATAGTCTCTAAAACATAATACATATGTAAAAAATGTCAATGAAGTATTTAAAAGAGGAAATCTGTGGATAAAAGTAGTTTTTGACTGCAACTATGGCAGAGAGGAAGCAATACAAAGAATTAATAGAAAAGAGAGTGATTGGTATAAGATGATATCAGAAGAGGAAAAAGAGAAAGAAGAGAAAAAAAAAGAACTCAAAGATTACAAGAAAAAACATCAAGATAAAGAAAAACATGTACCAAGATCCAGAAAAAAAAAGATTAAAGTAGGCACTAACAGGGAAGAACCATACAATAAGGAATATGAGAAAGAAGAAAGACCTGATAACAACGTAACCTATCTAACAATATGGGACCTACCAGCTAATATAAACAAAAAAGAAATAGAATATATCTGCAGAAGAATTAAAGATGTGCAGATAGTATGCATCAAAAGGTT